CGAGCGCCTGCGGCACGGCGCGCCTGCGCCACGACGACGACGACCGCACGACGCCCGGCGTGCTGTTCTACCCGGCGGAGGAGGGCGACGACGTCGACGCGAGCCAGCAGTACCTCCTGCCGCTCGAGCTGTTCGCGCGTCCAAAACTCAAGGGCCGCGAGAGCCGCGCGCTCCGCGCCCACGCGGCGCGCCTCGGGCCCGACTGCCCCGCGCTCGCCATGGCCGGCGACGGGTCGGCGCCGCCGGGGGCCAAATTCCTCGGCGAGCTCGACGCGCTGCTCGAGTCGCGCGAGCTCGTCAAGGTCAAGATGCCGGGCGCGGGCAAGAAGAAGAACGCGAAGATCATCGCCGAGACGGCCCTCGCGCCCGCGCTCTCGCGCGACGGCGCGCCGGCCTACGTCGCCCAGGTCGTCGGCCACACGGCGCTCCTCTACCGGAGGAGCCGGAAGCCGACGCTGGACCTGGAGGCCATGCTCAGGAGCGACCCGAACGACCTTCTCGGGTAATGTGTTAAATTTAGGCGCGACCGCGGAGGCGGCGGTCCTCGTCGTCGCATTTCCCGCACGTCACTTTGCACGCGTCTTTAGCGCGTGTGCCGAACTCGTCCTTCTTTTTGCAGTTCTTGCTCTTCTTGGACACGAAGGCTTCGCACGTCTTTTTGCTCTTCTTGTAGTACCAGGACGCGGAATCTTCGCATTCAGACGGGCACTCGCCGCACGCCACGGGGCACGCGTCGCGACCTCTCACGTCGTCGACGCCCTTCTTCTTGCACTTGTCCGTGCGTTCCCTCAGCCAGTCGCAGTCGTACTTGCTCTTCTTCCGGTACCAGCTGACGCTGTCGCTGCAGGACGCCTCTTCGGCGCCGAGCGTCGGCGCGGACGACGCGAACGGAAGCGTCGGGCTCGGGCTCGGCCGCGGCGTCGTTCGCGGCTTCGGGCGCGCCGTCGGGCTCGGGCTCGGGCTCGTGCTCGGGCTCGGCGTGGGCCGCGGCGTCGGGCTCGGCGTCGGCCGCGGCGTCGGGCTCGGCGTCGGCCGCGGCGTCGGCTGCGGCGTCGGCCGCGGCGTGGGCCGCGGCGTCGCGCGCGACGCGCAGCCGGAGCCCGTCGCGCTCGACAGGCCGTAGCGGCTGGAGATCTTGTCGCAGTCCGTCGGATCCGCGGTGTAGCCGGAGCACTGGTAGCCGCCGTACATGCTCGCGCCGACGCCATTAAAGTAGAGGTAGACCCACTGATTGTGGAACTGGGACGACGACGACCAGCAGAGCACGCCCGTCCCGGATGCCTTGGACCACACGTGGTACCGGTCGTCGCACTGCCAGTACTCCGCCGCGTCCGCGTAGGCCTCGCCGGCGGCGACGTATTCGTAGTCCCCGTTCCGCGGCTGTAGCCGCTGAACGTGAGGTACAGCGTCGACGGGAGGCAGTCGGTCGGCGCGGGTACGGGCGCGACGGTCGTCGTCGCCGGGCTCGGGCGCGGCGTCGGGCTCGGGTACGGGCGCGCGGTCGGCCGCGAGGTCGGTTCCGGGGCCGGCCGCGACGTCGGGCGGGGCGTCGGATCGGGCCGCGGCGTCGGACGCGGGGTCGAGTCCGTCGTCGGGCGCGGCGTCGGGTCCGGCCGCGACGTCGGGCGCGGCGTCGGGTCCCGAGGCGTCGGGCGCGGCGTCGGGTCGGGTTGCGGCGTCGGGCGCGGCGTCGGGCGCGGCGTCGGGTCGGGTTGCGGCGTCGGTTTCACGTTCGGCCGCGCCGTCGGGGAGCTCACGCAGCCCGAAACCGTCGCGCTCGAAAGCCCGAAGCTGCTCGGGATCAAATCGCAGTCCGTCGGGTCCGCCGTATACGAGGCGCACTGGTAGCCGCCCTGCATGCTCGCGCCGTAGCCGTTATAATAGAGGTAGATGTACTGGTCCGGAAACTGGGACGACGCGGACCAGCAGAGCACGCCCGCGCCGGAGCCCTTGGACCACACGTGGTAGCTGTCGTCGCAGGAGCTGTAGGCTGCCGCGTCCGCGTAGTCGTCGCCGGCCGCGACGTACGCGTACTCGCCGTCCCACTGCGGGTAGCCCCCGAAGGTCAAATGCACGGACAACGGCGTGCAGGGTTCGCTCCTCGTCGGCGCCGGGCTCGTCGTGGGCGCCATGGTGTCCGACGAGGTCACGGTCACGGAGAGGGCGCCGCCCGCGTCGGCGGCGACGGCGACGACGACGACGTACTCGACGCCCGGTCCGTCCGCGAGGTCGAGGGCGAAGGACTCGCCCGGGAGGATGGCCGCGTCGGCCCAGGACGAAGTCTCGGGGTGCGCGTCGACGGTGACCGTGTTGCTCACCCAGCCGGTGCCGCCGTAGTCGTCGACGACGGACGCCCAGTGCACGAGGACCGCGGCGCCGCCCGTGTCCGCGACGCGGTGCTCGAGAAAAAAGTACGTGTCGTAGGCCCGCGCCCCGATCGCGACGACGAGCGTCGCGCCGTCGTCCGGCGCGACGCCCGCGTCGATGCGGTCGAGCGTGTAGGGCCCGCAGGGGTTGCACTGGGGCGCGTCGGCGGCGAAGTCGTAGGGCGCCACCCACGCGACCTCGCCGTCGTCGATCCAGTCGAAGACCATCTTCGTCGACGCGAGGAACTGGGCCGAGGAGCCGAGGTCGGCCTCGACGTCGCCCCAGCCCATGGTCGAGTACATGGACCCGTACTCGTCCCAACTCTCCGGATCGTCCTGGTACGCGACGGCGCCGCGCGCTCCGCCGTGCATGACGCTCGCGTGGTTCGCGCCGAAGTTGTGGCCGAGCTCGTGCGCGAGGGACGCGTCGTAGTTCCAGCCGCCGACGTTCTGCGCCGTGCCCGGGTGGCTGACCCAGCCGATGCCGCCCCAGTACAAATTCCAGCAGTTGGGGATCATGATCGCGACAAAGTCCCAGGAGCTCGGCACGGCGCCGTAGGTCCCGAGCGCGTTGAGGACCTCGTAGGCGAGCGTGTCGTAGGCGCCGGTCCCGCCCTGCCAGTAGTTGATGGAGCCGATCTCGCCGCACTGGGCCCGCGACACCGTGCTCAGCGTGACCATCTCGGAGACGGTCGCCTTGAATTCGACGCGGCCGCCGGAGCTCGCGGCCGCGTAGGCGCCGAACGTCGCGGCGACCTGCTCGAGGTACGCGTGGGCGTCGCCGCCGTGGTCGCCCGCGACGAGGCTGAGGCCGCCCCAGCCGGCGTCGCAGCCCTCGTCGTAGTAACAGATCGGGACCAGGAGCAGCGACTTCGTGCCCGTGACGTAGTCCGTGACCGCGTCCTCCGCGACGGCGACCCAGGGCAGGCGCTTATTCGCCTGGAGCGGCGTGTGCAGGCGGCGCGCCGTGAACGAGTCCGAGACCCGCGCGGCCTCGTCGAGGCTCGCGAGCTGAACCGGCGTTCCGTCGCCGCCGGTGCAGAGCGCGGCGCGGTCGCAGCGGATCGCCGCGTCGGCGAGGTAGAAGGTGCCGTTCAGCTCGAAGCCCACGACGGGCACCCGCGCCGCGCTGCCGGAGAACGCGCGCGCGCCGACGGGCTCGACCTTGGAGAACGGTTCGCCCGCGGCGAGCTGGACGTGCGAGATCCGCTCGCCGCGCGTGCCGTTCCGCTCGCGCTGCACCTTGGTGACGACGTTCGCGAAGCCCGCGTGGGGCCGGTCCTCGAGCACGCAGCCCTCGGGCAGCGACGCGCGGAACTCGGCGCCGAGCGAGAGCGAGAGGTCGACGGCGGCCTCGAGGTCGCTCGACGACACGAGGTCGCGCAGGAGCCTCGCGCGCGCGGCGCAGGCGTGGCGGGCGTCCAGCGCCTTCCGGCCCACGTGCCGCACCACCGCGTCGTGGACGGCGTCGTGCGCGGCCGTCCGCAGCCGGGACGGCGCCACGAGCCCGTGGGGCAGCCCACTCGCGACGACCAAGGTCGCGCAGATCTGCAAGGCGCGGGACATTGTCTTGCTTGTTGTGGTCGTCGCGAAACCGATCGCGGCGTTGCTTTTGTCCGCGTCGGCTGCGCAGTTGCTTTGTGTTCAGGAGAGGGTGCCATAATTCCCGGCAGCGCAGGAAATGAACATGTCGATGATGCAGGGCTGCTTGAAGGTGCAGCCTGGCGAGCCGCCAGTGCGCCGGCGGCACCCCTGCGTACCGGGTCCGCACATCCATGACAAAGCCCACCGCGACGACGACCGAGGCTACTTAAAGGGCGGTGCTCGGCGGGGCGCTCACCAGGCGAAGGCCGAGGCCGGGTCCGTCCAGAAGTGGTTGATGCAGCCCCAGCAGCAGAAGTAGATGGGCTGGCCGAACTTGTGGAGGACCTACCAAGCACGTCGGTAACGATGTTTCATCGTTTCCCCGCCCGAAATCTCTCGAAACTCGTCACAGCCGCAGGACGCTGACGAGGACGCGCGGCGTCTGCATGTCCACGAGGATGTGCTCGCCGGAGTACGGGCACTGCACCGTCGTGTTGCGCAGATCGGGGAGGCCGCGTGCGCCGTCGGGCATGGGCAGCAGCCCCTGCTCCGGCGTGCTGTCCGTGGGCGCGAGCCAGTACGACCGCGGGTCGCGGCCGTAGGTGCTGGCGTCGTCCTTGGAGGCGAAGAAGAGCGTCTGGCCGTTGAAGAGGCCCAGCGGGTACATGTCGCTCGTCGACATGTTCTTGCCTACCACATGCGTCGGTAACGATCTTTCATCGTTTTCCCGGTCAAAATCTCTCGAAAATCGTCACGGATGCAGGACGCAGGTTCTTGCCGGTGACGGGGCAGATCGCGACGTCGCGCGGCCCCGGCGGCGGCTGCGCCGCGGCGCCCAGGCACGTTAGAGCAAGGATCAGAATTGATAGCTTCGCCATTGCGCGTGCAATCCTGTCGATTGCGCGAGGCTTCGTAAGGCTGCCCGGTCGGCCTGGCCCAGTGTTGAACGTCAACTCCCGGCAACAAGCCGTGCTCAACTCTAGATCAGCTCTGCTGCTGCACGAGAGCTGCCGCCGCCACCGCGCGCCGCTTGCGCGCCGCACAGCCACGATGGTCAAACCGCCGACGGAGGTCGTCGCCGCGAAGCGCTCGTTGCGCAAGGCCATGAAGGCGTTGCTCTCGGCGCTCGACGCGACGACGCTCGCCGCGGAGTCGGCCTGCGTCGCGCGCCAGGTCGTCGCGCGCGACGACTGGGCGTCGGCGTCGACGGTCGCGGCCTTCTGCTCCATGCCCTCCGGCGAGCTCGCGACGCGGCCCCTCCTCGAGGCCGCCTTCGCCGCGAAGAAGCGCGTCTTCCTGCCGCGCGTCGACGACGTGAAGTCGCGGAAGATGACGATGCTCGAGGCCTACTCGCTCGACGACGTCGACGGCTTCGCGCGGTCGACCTGGGGCATCCCCGAGCCGCCGGCGGGCGAGGGCCGCGCCGACGCGCTGGACGCGGGCGTCGACTTCGTCCTGGTGCCGGGCGTCGCGTTCGACGGTGGCCGCGGGCGCCTGGGCCACGGCGCGGGCTTCTACGACACGTGGTTCGCGGCGCTCGCGGCGGGCGGCGCCGCGCCCCCGCGCGTCGGCGTCGCCCTCGCGGACCAGCTGCTGCCGAATTCGAAAATCCCGGACTGCCCGGCCGCGGTGCCGCGCGAGGCCCACGACGAGGTGCTGGACGCCGTCGTGGTGGCGAAAAGAGCGTAATCTCTTTAGTCGAAGGCGCGCCGCTGCGGGGCCGGGGCCTGCTTCGGCCGCTTCGGCCCGCCGACGAAGCGGACGGCGACGGCGGTGACGTTGTCGCAGCCCGTGCCGTCGCCCTCCGCGGTGTCGGCGACGCAGGCGGCGGCGAGGTCGCGCGCGGCGTCGACGACGTCGCCGTCGCCGAGGACGCTCGCCACCGTCGCGTCGGGCAGGCAGCCCGTGACGCCGTCGCAGACGAGCGCGAGGCCGACGTCTTTGTTGGAGAGCGGCGCGACGACGACGTCGGGCTCGCAGGAGATGCGCTGCCGCTCCGGCGCCAGGCCCGGCTCCATCTTGTAGCGGTGGTCGCCGAAGGCGCGCGACAGGTTCAGGTTGCCGTCGACGCGGCCCTCGGGCGTGACGACGCCGCCGGCGGCCTCGACGCGCGACCGCTCGCGGTCGTCCTCCGGCTTGTGGTCCTCGCTCAGCGCCGCCGGCGCGGCGCCGCCGGCCCGGAGGAGGATGGCGCGGCTGTCGCCCGCGTTGGCGACGTAGACGACGCCCGCGGCGCGGTCGACGAGCGCGACGACCTGGGCAGCACAAGGGTGATTCGACGTCGCTTCAACGTGAGTGTTCCGCGCGCGCGCGTTCCGGAAAAAGCATCCACGCTGCGAGACCGTTCCGAGAGATGATCGCTCGTCCAAAAATCAGCCGAAACGAGTGGAAAACGGCCGAGATATGAGCCTTTGAAGTTGGGAATTTCGCTCTCTTGTGCTGCCCTGGCGACGACGGCCGTGCATCCCGACGCGTAGCCCGGCCGCTCCTCGACGTCCTCGGCCTCGGGCTCGCGGGCCCGGAAGCCGGCGGCGGCCGCGGCGTCGAGGTGCCGCTCGTTGTAGGCGGCCTGCTCCGCGCGGTGGCTCGCGCGGCGCGCCGCGACCTCGTCGGATCCCGGCGACGGCCAGCGCAGCGACGCGTCGAGCGCGAAGAACGCGGCCCGGAGCGCCGCGCCGTAGTCGCCCTCGGCGAAGCCCGGCGCGCGCTTCAGGTAGGCGCCGACGTGGGCCGCGGCGTAGCGCGCGACCTCGGCGCCGCCGTGGCCGTCGAAGACCGCGAAGAGACCGAGCGACGCGCCGAAGTCCGGCTCGGCGACGTGCGCGTCCTCCTGGCCCGTGCGCCAGCCCTGCACGGCGCAGCAGCCGGCGTCGAGGCCCATGAGCTTCGGCGTCGGCTTCGAGCTGTGGCGCGACGCGTCGAGGTCGACGATGGGCGCGGAGAGGTACGGCGACCAGGCCATCTGGCGCGCGTAGGCCAGGAACGCCGCCTTCAGCCTCGCCTCTTTCATCGCGTCGCGCCGGCGGCGACACGCGACGAAGCGCAGGCGCCTCGACCGCTTCTGGCGGCGGCCCATTTTTGTATTGCAGTCGCCTTCAGCGAGCACTGCGCAGCGAGCGGTGCTCGAGGCGGCCGCGCTTCACTGCGCGGCAGCGAGCGGTGCTCGAGGCGATCGATGCGGGCACTGCGCAGCAGCGAACGGTGCTCGAGGTGGATGCAAGCGGTCGCGCACACCGACGTCTCGCGGTCGCAGCTCCGATCTCCAGCGAGTCGACTAGTCTCAAGCTCGGAGTGCACGTGAAGGGCGAGTTGAAGCCGCTTTTTAAAGTGCCGCCCCTAGGAGCTCGGCGGCTTCGACGTCGTCGCGTTGGACGGCGCGCGGGGCAGGTGCTCGTCGCCGAGGCCGTTCTTGAGGTAGTTGTCCCAGGCCGCCTGCGCCTGGGGGTCCTTGGGCTTGGGCTCGGGCTCGGGCGCCTTGGGCTTCGGCGGCGCGTAGGCGTAGCCGGCCCGCACGGGCGTGCCCTTGGCGACGAGGGTCACGGTCTCCTTGCCGCCGCGGATGCGGCAGACCCAGTAGCCGTCGTTCGCGCCCGTGGCCTCGCGGACGACGCGGATGCGACCCGGCGACGCCTCGTCGACGAGACCCTCGAAGATCGTGCCCTTGTGGCAGACGGGCGGGTTCGGCCCGAGCAACGTCACGTCCCAGGGGCCGGCCTGGTAGGGCGTGCCCCGGTCCGCGATGACGCCGTAGGTGTAGAGCTTCGTCTTTGGCTTGTTCACGTGCTCCGCGACCTGGGCAGGAAAAGAGTGCGAAATTCTCAACTTCAAAGACTCCGCTCTCGGCCGTTTTCCACTCGTTTCGGCTATTTTTTGGACGAGCGATCATCTCTCGGAGCGCTCTCGAAGCGCGGGTGCTTCTTTTACTGCGCGCGCGCGCGGAAAACTCGCGTTGAAGCGACGTTGAATCACTCTTTTCCTGCCCTGTCCGCGACGGTCGGCTGGTCCTGCTGCAGCCGCCGCGCGACGGACCGGTACTTGCCGCTCGCGTTCCGCGGGTCCGGGGGGAGGTCGTTCGCCGGCGCGACGGGCTCCGGCTCGGGCTCGGGCTCCGGCTCCGGCTCCGGCGCCTTCTTGAACGCGCCCTGGACGACCCTCAAACCGCCCGCGCCCGCGGCCGCGACGGCGTCGACGACGAGGTCGTCGGCGTCGAAGGTCTTCCCCTGCGCCCTGGGCTCCATGAGTCCGAGCTCGTCGGTCCCCAGCGCGCCGGCGCCGAACTTGGCGTCGTAGGACTTGCCGAAGGCGTCCAAAATCTTCTTCACCTTGGTCTTGCGCGCCGGCTCGAGCCACTTCGGCGGCACCTTCATCGCGATCTTGTAGTGGCGCGTCTCGGCGACGTCCGCCGGCGCGTACTCGACGACGAGCTTCGACATGGCCGCCGAGCTAGGGGAGTTCCGCGACGCGCCGCGGGTGGTGGTCGAAGGGCTGCCGATTTAGGAGCGTCAAGGTGCTGTGGCAACTTTTTTTGTTGAACAAGCTCTCCTGTCTCACTCACGCGCCAGCCTAGCACCTCGCGTCGCGCGCGCGCGCACAGCCTCGCCTCGCGTCGCGCCGCCGGGACGCGCCGCCAGCACCAGCGCACAAGTCCCAGCACCGCCTCGCGCCGCCGGGACGCGCCGCCAGCACGCCGCGATGCTTGCCAGCCGCATGCTTCGCGCTGCGCGGCCGCTTGCGCGGCCGCTCGCGGTCCGCGGGTTCGCGTCGCGTGTGATCACCGTCTCGGACGAGGCCTCCTACAAAAAGCTCTGCGCGCAGGACAAGCTCGTCGTGACGAACTTTACGGCGACTTGGTGCGGTCCCTGCAAGGCCGCTGCGCCCATCTTCGACAAGATGTCCGAGGACCACGGCGACGTCGTCTTCTGCAAGATCGACATCGACGACGAGGAGCTCCAGGAGGTCGTCGTCGCCAACGCGATCTCCGCCGTGCCCACCTACACCTTCGTCAAGGGCGACGAGATCGTCGCCGACGCGATAAAGGGCGCGAACATGCCGGCGATCGAGGAGGTGCTCGGCAACCTCGCGTGAGGGCAGCGCGGGCGGCGCGCTTTAGCGTTCGCGTAATGGATCCTGCCACCCTGCCAGGCGAATCGCTGAGACGATCGCTAGTCGATCGTGCGGGGACGCGCTGCGGCAATTTCACGGCACCCGAGGTGCAACATCTCGACATCGAGCGGCCGATGGGAGCTCGTCGAGAGGATTCGCGGGCGATGCTTCATGCCATGCTGCTGTGCGCTAGCGCAGCAGCGTTCGTGCTCCCGCGACACCACACAACGCTGCGATCGCCGCGCCTCGCGACACCAAACAGCGACGACGAGCCGACCTTCGCGAGCCTCGCGCAGCTGGAAGCACGACTCAGCGTCCTTGCGGACGGCACGTCGAGCAAGCTGCGCAACTACCACGACCCGACGCTGTGTTCCTTCTTGCTCGAGGCCGGCGTTACGACGAACTACAGCGTCACGTCGTCGGCCATCTGCGTCGAGACGCTCCTGGCGTCCGGCGACGCGGCCGCGCTCGAGGAGTTCCAGCTCTTCGGGCCCACGTGCGACGCGCTGGCCAACGCCCAGTGGCGGTCCGACGACTTTCTGCAAGCGCCGCTCGTCGTCCTCGCGCTCGCGCGGTTGGCGGGGCGGGACGAGCGGTCGCGCGAGGTTTTGGCCGACTACGCGGCGCGAGACCGCGTCCGCGGCGCCGTCCAGAGCCTCCTCGAGCGGCGGCCGCGGCTGCGCGACTGGCGGAAGCAGCGCCTGAGCTCCTACATCGCCTACTACCTGACGGCGGCGCTCCTGGAGGTCGTCGACGGCGCGCACGACGCCGGGGAAGGCTACGGCGACGACGGCGAGTTTCGGCTTTTGGCGCTCCTCGGCGTCGACCGGCAGGACGTCGGCACGGCGCTCGCCAGGTCCTTCGCCGTGGCCCGCGACGAGCTCTGCCGGCAGCTGGCGGCCCACGCCGCCGGCGACGCGTCCGCCTTCGACGTCGTCCGGCTGGCCTACTCGCTCTCGACCTACGTCGCCGTCGCGGACGCACGGGAGACGGTCGCGCGCCTCGGCAACGGCGACATCGTCGTCGAGGAGCCGAACCGCAAGCTCTGCGCCGCGGCGCTCGCGCAGTTCTTCGGCGAGCAGCGTGACGACGGCACGTGGCCGCCCGGGCAGGCCATCTTCCTGCGGAGCCGGAGGAGCTTCGACGTCGGCAACGCGTACGTCTTCTTCGTCGACGTCCTCGCGACGGTGCTCGGCTGCGGGCTGCCGCACGCGCTCTTCCTCCCGTACACGTCGGAGGTCGCGCGGACGACGACGTGGCTCGAGACGCACGACGTCGACGGGCGGGGCTGGCGCAGCGACCGCCTCGCGCCCGGCGGGCCGCCGTTGGCGTGGTGCACGGCGCAGGCGCTGCGCTGCGCGTCGAGCTCGCTGGGCGTCGTCCGGTCGCTCCTCAACGACCACGTCTTGGACGAATTCGGCGGGCGGGGGCCGACGGCGCCCGACGGCGCGGACTTCGAAAGATTGCTCGATAGCGACATGTCGCCGGGCCTGTCGCTGAAGGGCGTCGTCCGCGACCGCGTCATCGCGCCGCGCCTCGGCGGCCCGGGCTGCGAGGCCTGGAGCGCCGTGCTCTTCGGGCCGCCCGGGACCGCCAAAACGACGACGGCCGAGTGCGTCGCCAAGGCCCTGGGCTTCGGCTTCGTCGTCGTGGACACGGCGTGCTTCCTCGAGGACGGCATCTCGAACATCGCGTCGCGCATCGGCTACGTCTTCGACCGGCTGAAGAAGCTCGAGCGCGTCGTCATCCTCTTCGACGAGATCGAGGAGTTCTGCTTGGATAGAAACACGCCGGGCATCGGCATGGAGTCGCGCGTGCTGACGACGGCCATGCTCACGCAGATCAACGACCTGCGGCGCGCGGAGCGGTCCGTGTTCCTCATCGCGACGAATCGCCTGAACGCGTTCGACTCGGCCATCGTCCGGCCGGGGCGGCTCGACCTGCTCCTGTTCATCGGCACGCCGTCGCGGCCCGCGCGCGTCGCGCGCTTCGCGGAGAGCCTCGCGGCGCTCTGCCCGGGCCGCGACAACGAAGCCGACGCGGCGACGTTCGCGTCGTTCCTCGAGGCGCACTGGGACGTGGCCATGTTCCTCAACTTCATGGAGAGCGAGCGCCTGAAAGCCAACGCCGTCGCCGCGGTCCGCGACGGGGCCGCGCTCGACGGCGCGCTGCTCGCGGGGCTCCTCGACGACGCCGCCGCGACGATGGTCCTCCGCGACGACGCCGCGCGGGACGAGTACCGCGCGAACTTGAAGCTCACGCGCCTGTAATCGCACCGATGAATATTCCGAAGACGGAAACACGCTCCGTTTCTGAGCAGAGCGCGCACAAAGACAATGCGGCAGTTTTTGACCTGATACATAAGCGCTGTTTCAGTGTCCTCGGCGGTTCGTGTTCGAGTTACGCCGCGCTCGGCGGGGGATTCATAGGGGTCCCCATTCAGGGAATTGTCGTCACCTCTGAACGCGTCGTCGTCCATCACCTTCGACGTCGGGCTCTGGGAGCACTCGACGCTCAGTCCCCCGGAGAATGAGACGTCACGTTAGCGTGTCAGGAGACGGGCGGGGGGGGGGGGGGGGAAGGGGCGATGATGCGAGCGCTTTGGACCGGAAGGTGTGGTGCGAATGAGCGAGCACGCCGGCCGAAGCGTGGGGCGGCTGAGCGAGCACGCCGGCCGAAGCCCTTGGAAGTGTGGCCGCGCGAGCTAGTAGAGTTTGAGGGCAGCCGCGCCCGCGCAGGACGCGGTGACCGCAGCCATGGCGTATGGCACAAGCGCGGGCGACAGGAGAGCGCGCGCCGCGCTCGAAGCCGTGTAGGTGATCGCGAACGTCGCGACGTTGGACGCGATCACCGACGCGATGGATACGCGGACGCGGAGGAGCGTCGCGACTTCATCCCGCGCGTGGTCAATATATCAGCCGAAACTTCGCGTCGTCCTGGCCAATTCGGCGATGCATCCAGTGTCTGTCTCCGTGTGCTGCTGCTGACGCGTGCGCTTGTGCGCCGGCGATTGCTGGCTCTAGAGCTCTGATATGCGCGCGCGCGCGCGCGGCGGTAGAGGTGTCAGGAGGCGTGCGGCGTCGATACGTCGCCCGCCTTAATATGCCGCACGCCTTAATGGGTCGCTTATCCAGGGGGGTTCGTGGGGTGCCGGCGAGCAAAGCCAGGTGGCGGCCGGAGGCCGCCCCCTAGCCGTCGCGGCGGAGGTTGGTCGTGAGGGTGGCGAGGGCGGCGCGGTCCGCGAGGCACACATTTTGCCTCAGCTGATCAGCGGCGCGCGACGCGATCGACGCGTCTCTCTAAACATAGGGGCCAAACCAAAGGTCAACCGGCGTTTTCTAACTGTGTCGCGCCGACGAGGAGGTCGATCGCGCGCTCATCACGGGCTAGGGCTAGAGGCCTGTAATCGTCATCTTCGCTATCAGACAGGTCCCACCTTTAATCGACGGACCCCGCGAGGGCCTCCGCGAGGAACGTCGCCGCGGCGCCCTGGTTCGCCTCGAGGAGGAGGAGGCCAGCGAGCGGGTGGACGTACTGCGTCGCCGCCCAGGACGGGAGGCCGAAGCCGAAGAGCGCCCAGCGGTGCTCCGCCGTGAACTGCGCCCAGGCCGCCGCGTCCTGCCGCGCGTCGTACTGGTAGAGGAACTGCTTCGCCTGCACGAAGGTCAGCACGTAGACCCAGGCCGCCTGGGCGCAGAGCTCGATCGTCGGCGCCCGGACCGCGCCCGAGAGGACGAGGAAGAAGCTCGCGGCCGCGAGGGGCTTGCTGAACGCCGCGACGGCCTTGAACATCTTCAGCGCGGGCCGGATCACGGGCACCCAGAGCAGCGCGACGGCGACCGCCGCGCAGGACGTCGCGAGCACGCACACGAAGAGCGGCGCGATGGGGAACGCGACGGCCGCGCCCGACGCGACGAAGGCCGCCGTCGCCGCGACGACGGGCGCCCACGTCGCGGAGAAGAAGACGACGCCCGAGACGACGAGGCAGCCGACCAAAAGCTCGACGAGGAGCACGCGCGCGCGCCGCCCCCAGCCCCGGACCGTCGGCGCCGCGCGCAGCTCCGCGGCGAGCGCCGGCGCGCGGCCGTCGAGCGCCGCGAAGAACGCGCCGCCCGACGTCGCGGGCCGCAGCCACTGCGTCGTCTGCAGCGCGGACACGGCCGTCGACCGCAGCAGGCCGTCGAGCGACGGCCGGTAGCCGACGAGGCGCAGCGGCAGGGCGCAGACCCAGAGCGTGAGCGACGTGCCGACGCAGGCGCACACCGTGAGCGCCGTGAAGGGCAGGATGTGCCGGAGGAGGAGCAGCGGCCGCGTGCCCAGATAGCCCACGCCCTCGAACCAGAGGCGCATGCCGTCGAAGGTGTTGAGGCGGCGCTTCTTCGCCATCGGAGCTTTCGTGCGCTCAGCAGTGGCCGTGCGCTCACTAGCGGCTCGTGAAAGTGCGAACTCGGCCTCCCATTGCTTTAATAAGAGCTACAACGAGAGGGACCTTGAAGATTTCTTGTTCGTGGCATCTCTAAACTCCGCGCCGGACGCTGCGAGGAGTGTGCACCCAGCGGGCAGCGTCAAGGAACGCGCGCCATGAGAGACGAACCATCGTAGCAGACATGACGGCGAACGCCTGGGGCGAGAACGCGCGGCTCACGGAGCTGCTGTGGCTGTGCACGGCGGACTCGGGCCTCTCGGGCTTCGTCGGCGACGACCAGGCCGCGCTCGGCGACCGGGCCGGCCCGACGCGCTGGGAGCCCGGGCAGCACGGCCGCTACGCGAAGCTCATCGCGGACCAGAAGACGATCACGCGGCGGCGGCGGCCGAGCCGCGCGAATTTACCCGCCGCGGGCGGCGGGCCCGCCGCGGCGAAAGGTTCGCCGCTCGCGCTCTCGGGCTGGCTCGACGAGTCCGGCGCGTCGCCGCCGCCCGTGTCCGCGCGGCGCATCCTCGACACGTCGCCGGCGCACAGCACCATAAAGAAAGCCCACGCCGCCGCCGCCGTCGAGGCGGCCGCGGCCGCGATGGGCGGCGACGACGGCGGCGACAGGCCGCCGTCCAAGTTCGAGCAGCGCCAGAGCCGCAAGTCGAAGATCCGCTTCATGGGCAAGGTCGTCGTCAACCTGAAGAACGACCGCGCGGACAAGGCGTCCATCGAGGCCCTCCGCGGCGCGTCCTTCGACGCGACGGCGTCGCAGTCCGGGCGGCAAAAGGGTGATTCAACGTCGCTTCGACGTGAGTGTTCCGCGCGCGCGCGTTTCGGGAACAGCACCCACGCTTCGAGAGCGCTCCGAGAGATGATCGCTCGTCCAAAAATCAGCCGAAACGAGCGGAAAACGACCGAGATCGGAGCCTTTGAAGTTGGGAATTTCGCTCTCTTTTGCTGCCCAGGTCGCAGTCCGGAGATCTGCCGACGATGGACCCGAAGCTCCTGGACAGCCCGCGGTCGCCGGCGACGCCGAACACGCCGTCGGCGACGCCCGCCGACGAGAAGGTGCGGAGTTTTTCCAGTAGGCGGCCCTCGGACTTTAGCGGCGACGCCTGGAGCCCCGCGTTCTCGGAGCACTCCGCGTTGTACGCGGCGTTCACGCCGGCGATCCTGCACCGGCGCCTCCTCCAGAACTACATGGCCGAGCTCGACAAGACGCGGAGCCACAACGAGGCGGTGATCCGGCGCAGCTCCCAGGGCGACAGCTTCGACGCCGCGCCGGGCGACAGTTTCGCGGCTTTATCGGACGCGCTGACGCGGAGCTCCTTCGAGGCGACGAGCCCCGGCGCCGAGGGTCGCCGCGACAGCGCGAACCTGCGGCAGATCTGGGCGGACCGCGGCAGCGGGAGTTCTTTCGTAGCGTTGAGCCGCATGAGCGAGACCATCGACGCCATCGAGTCGCCGCGGCGCTCCGAGGCGACGGCCGGCCCGAAGCGGCGCGACTCCTTCGCGGACATGGAGCGTCTCGTGACGGCGCCGCCGGACGCGACCGTGGCCGTCGACGCCGACGCCGTGCTCGCGCCCATGGTGTTTCCCTTGGCCGGGGCGCTCTTCTTCGTGGACATCTCCGGGTTCACGAAGCTCAGCGGCCGCCTGAGCGCGGACGAGCTCAAGTACCACTGCAACGAGTACTTTGGCATGCTGCTGGGCGTCATCGCGCGCCACGGCGGCGACGTCATCAAATTCCTAGGGGACGCGTTTTTTGTTTTATGGCCCGCGGCGCCGGACGCGCCGGAGCTGACCAAGGCCGCGAACGCGTGGCGCGCCGCGCGATGCGCGGTGGACGTCATGCGGTCCTGCTCGACCTACGACTGCGGCAGCGGCTCGTCGGCCGTGAGTCTGCGGCTGCACTGCGGCTTGGGCGTCGGCATCGTCAACGTGTTCGTGGTCGGCGCGGACGAGCGCTGGGAGCTCGTCATCGCGGGCGACCCGATACGGCAATTGGCGGAGACGGAGGGCGAGGCGGACCGCGGCCAGGTCGTCGTGTCGCCGGAGGTGCAGCGCCTGTTGAGCATGGGACACGTGCCCTACCCCGTGCCCCTCGAGCGGACGGACGGCGGCAACTACCAGCTCCGCTGGGCGGCCGAGGACGACCGGCCCAAGGACGACAAGGCCTTCGACGACGACGCCGCGCCGGCGGAGCCGGAGGAGAAGAAGAAGCGGGAGAAGCGGCCGTCGCTGACGGACCGCCTCTTCGGGAGCGCCGGGGCGCCGCCGCCGGCGCGCGAGCGGCGGCCGTCCCGCGCGGCCGTGTCGCTCGACGGCGAGCCCGCGGCGCCGTCGCCGTCGACCAAGGCGAACCGCACGATGATGTTCGGCTCCAACGCGAGCTTCGACGACGGGGACCTGACCGCGGGGCCGCCGCCCGAGGGCCGGCGCTCCATCTACGAGTACGTCGGCCCGAACAACAACAGCAACGCCGCGGATTCCGTCAGGCCCCAGGCGGACCGGAAGAAGCGCAAGTCCATCTCGTCCCTGCTCCTCGTGCATCCGCCCAAGACCGTGGAGACGTCCTCCCCGGACGCGGGCGGCGGCACCCTCGTCTACGTGCCCAGCGACCGCGCGGCGTTCCCGCCGCAGACGTGCGAGCAGGCGCGCGGGTCCGTCCACCAGATCGTGCGCCGGGGCGCGTGGCAGCTCGACCCCGTCGCCATCGGCGGGCCCGACGAGCACGACTTCGCCGCCATCGAGCTGGCCCAGAAGATGCGCGCGGCCTACTCTTCTTTTGTACGACCGGTGGCGCGGTCGCTCCGCGCGTTCGTGCCCGAGGCCGCGCGGTCGCAGCTCAACGCGGGCACGCCGGGGCTCCTCGGCTCTATGAGGGATGTCGTCACGGTCTTCGTGGACGTCATGGGCCTCGAGGACGCGCTGCGCGCGGGCGATTTGGGGCCCGTGCAGGCGGCCATGGAGGCCGCGACGCACGCGTTCAAGCACTACAAGGGCATGCTCCGCCAGTTCGCCGTCGACGACAAGGGCTGCGTCTTCATCGGCGTCTTCGGCGTGCCCCAGCACGCCCACGAGGACGACGAGGCGCGCGCCGTGGGGGCGGCGCTGCGCGTGCTCGCGTCGCTCGCGACGCTCGGCGTCGACGCGCGCGCGGGCATCGCGGCCGGGCGCGCGTACTGCGGCCTCGTGGGCACGGCCGCGCGGTCCGAGTACGCGGTGCTGGGCAGCTCCGTCAACCTCTCGGCGCGCCTCATGTCCCACGCGCCGCCGAACGTGCTTTTAGTAGAAAGAAACGTCCGCGACGGCGCGATCAAGTCCGGCGGCTACGCGTTCCACGAGCGGGGCACGATCCAGGCCAAGGGCTACGACCTGCCCATCGCCGTCTTCCGGCCGGAGAAGGAGGTGGCGACGAGTCGGGCCGCGGAGAAGGCCGCGAAGCGCGCGCTCGGGGAACGGGTGCACCTGTCGCCGCGGTGGCGCGTCGCGACGGTCGGGCGAAGCTCGGAGCGCCGCCACTGCCGCGACGTCCTCGCGGAGCTCCGGAGCTCGCGGTCCAAGGCGACGCCCGTGGTGACGTTCCTGTTGGGCCCCCGGGGCTTCGGGAAGACGCGCCACCTCCAGGAGGCGTTGGCATTGGCGGACCAGCAGGGGACGCGAACCCTCGAGGCTTCGGGCAAGAAGGGCAACGTCTTCGGGTTCTTGCTGCGGACGCTCCTCTCGGAGACGGCGGCCCTGGCGTCGCCCGACTCGTCGAAGCGGAGCCTGTCGCCGACGCACGGCAAGGTCGTGCTCGCGCCCATCGACACGGCGTCGCCCGCGAGCCCCGCGCGGCCCCTGGGCCCCCGGCCGACGAAGCGGAGCTTCGGCCTGCGCAAGCTCGAAGATCTGCTCGCGGCGGCCGGCGGCGACGCGTCCGCCGCGCCCCTGGTGCAAGCGTTGGTCGCCGCGGGGCCCGACGACGCCGTCGCCGGGTCGCGCGACCTCGGCGACGCCGTCGCGCGACTCCTCGTGAAAGCCGCGCGGGACCGGTCGCTGCTCGTCGTCGTCGACGACGCGCAGGCGTTCAGCCCCCGCGACTGGGCGACGCTCGTCGCAGTTGTCGATTTAGCCGCGGCGTCGGAGACGCCGGAGAGCGGCCGGCTTCGAGTGCTGGCGGGCGCGCGGCCGCTGGGGGCTCTAACGGGCGCGACGGCCGACGCCTACGGCGCGCTGAAGCAGCTGCTGCGGGGCGGCGAGGGCGGGCTGCGGGCGCGCACCTTCGCGCTGAAGCCGTTAAACCCGCGCGAGGCCGCGGACTTTGCGCGCGACGTCTTCTTCGGCGCGCCGGAGCAGGACGGCGCGCCCGTTTCCCCTTCGTCCCCCAAGAAGCGGAGTCTGACTGTTGACGACCCGGACCCGGCCTTCGCCGAGGAGCTCGCGAAGAAGACGGGCGGCGACCCGCACAAGGTGCTGCACGTGGCCCTCGTGCTGAAGCAGCGCCTCGGCGGCGAGTCGCTCGCTAGGAGCGCGTTCCCGGGCGCCGCGTGCGCGGCCGAGGTCGCGTCCATGCCGTCCAACGCCGTGCAGCTCGACCTGCGGCGCATGGTCATCGCGCGCTTCGACGCGCTGAGCCAGCTCGAGCAGGCCGTGCTGAAGTCCGCGTCGGTGCTGGGCCGCGACTTCTGTTTCAGCGCGCTCCTCTACCTCTTCAGGCAGCAGACGCACGAGGCGTCCGAGGACTCCATGATCGCCAAGGGCGACGTCGACGTCGGCAACGACCGGGCCATCTCTTCCTCGTTACGCTTCGCGCTCGTGGGCATCATCGAGCACAACTTCGTGCGCAAGCGGCCGAGCCCCGGGGGGGACGCGTTCGGGGGCGCGTTCGCGTTCGTCAAGGACACGGTCCACGTCGACATCTACGAGCTCATGCCCGTCCTGACGCGCCAGAAGCTCCACGGCTTCGCGGCGGCGTGGACCCTCGAGCGGGCGCCGAAGCCCGGCGCGCGCGAGCTCACGGATTTGGTCCATCACTGCCTCAACTCTGGCCGAAGGCACGCGGCGCTCGAGCACCTCGTCGCGCTCGCCGCGGGCGCGCGCGCGGACCCGCGGCGCCACGACGAGGCCGTGCTGGCCTACTCGCTGCTCGTGCAGCTCTGTCTGAGCGTCGACGCCTTCGAGCTGCTGGAGGCGCGCGCCGCGGGGCCGCACGCCGCTGAGGCGTTCCTCGCCGAAACGGATACCGGGCCCTTCGACGCGGCCTGGCGCGACACGGACGAGTTCCGCCCGCTGCGCCTCACGAACCGCGCGGAGGACGCCGGCCCCGCGTCCTGCGGCGAGGAGGAGTCGCCGCTGCGCGTGGGCGCGTGGCTCGCGGCGATCGCGCATCTCGAAAGGTCCGCGGGCCGCGTCGCGACGGCGTTCAACACGGCGTCGGCGGCGCTCGTCGTGCTGGGCGACGCGGCGGACGCCGACGGCCACGGCGCCGCCGTGAAGTCGCGGCTCCACGCGCTGCGGAGCGAGCTCTTTCTCGCGCGGGGCTTGGCGGACGACGCGCGCGCGGCCGCGCTCGAGGCGGCGCGGCTCGCGGAGAGCTGCGCGCCGGACCTCGCGGCGCGCGCGAAGCGCACGGGCGAGCCCACGGACGAGGCCGCCCCGGAGGCCGCGGGCTTCGCCCTCTACTCCGCGCGCTTCGACGCCGTCGACGCCGCGCCCGCTCTGCCGCTCCGCGAGCTCCGCGAGGCCGCGGCCGTCGCCCGCGCGCGCCTCGCGGCCGTCCACGCCGCGACGGGCGACGCGAAGCGCGCCGCCGCGACCCTCCGAGTCGCCCGGCGCGACGCGCGTCGCGCGGGCACGCGCCGCGCGGCCGCGGCCGTCGAAACCGCCGCCGCGGCGCACTACGGGTGCCTCGGCGCGTGGGACCGGTGCCTCGACCACGGCGCCCGGGCCGCCGCGGCCCACGAGGCCGCGGGCGAGCCGAACCGCGCCGCCGAGGAGCGCGTCGCGCGCGCGCACGCCCACCTGGCCGTGGGCTGCGCGAACCGCGCGGTCGCCGCTTTACACGCCGTGGCCCTCGCGCAGCAGCGCACGCCCGAGGACACGGCGTCGAGCGTCTTCCTCTGCGCGCCGTCGCCCCTGGTCGCCGCGGCGGCGTCGGCGGCCGTCGCCGCGGCCGCGCTGCTGCGCGGCGAGCGCGCGGCCGCGGCCGCGGCCGCGGCGGCCGCCGCGGGCCAGCGGCTGCCGCGCGACGCGTTGGAGCTCTGGGGCCTGCCCGTCGTCGTCGCCGCGGCGGCCGTCGCCGCGCCGGAGGCCGGCCGCGACAAGGACTTCACGGACCGCGCGGCGCGGTCGAGCGCCGCGCCCCGGGAGACGCGCGCGTTCTACCTCCGCGCGCTCCGCGACGTGACCGCGCCGCCGCGCCACGTCGCCGCGGCCG